TAGATCATTACCTTTTCAAACACCTAACCAAGAACTGCACGCGTACATTGTATCCTCTACTCTCTTCAATAAATATTTTTGCTATTATTTTCTGCATTATTACAACCTGCTATCCCCTGCGAATTAATAACTTCCTCCTGAACCGAACAAAGAATACCTTCTCAGAATATTCGTCTGTGCTTAAGAACAAACCCTTCTGTCGTGGTTTTTTGTTAAAGTAATTTGCGGTCAGTCAATAATTGAAAACAAACAGAGGATTTTTTACACGTTGGTTGTATAGGAGAAGAATTGAGGTCACTTGAAGTATTTTTATTCACAATATATGTATCTTTTCCCTCAACAAATGCTGATTTTCACCTCAAATGTCTTCCTTCATTCATACTTAACTCAAACGATATGCTCGATGAGATGAAAATAAGGAAGAAGTAGTAAAAAGAAATGGTAAAACTGGAAAAAGAACCCGCATCGTCGATAACTGCGCCACTACTACCGGTCCCTGATAAAAATAGATAATTATGATGATGTAGCAATGTCTTGTGCAATCGATTCATCCATTCCCCTTTTCCCGAGAAAAGCCGATAAAGATTTGTCAAACTGGGAAGGAATGGATGAATGAAAGAAAGAGAAAGTAAGCAAAAAAGAAAAGAAAAATGCATTTAAGATGGAACATAAGCTGCATTTTCATATTTTTTTTTAACAATAAATGATGGACAAACAATTTGACAAATCTTTCACAAACAATTTGTCCAAAAAAAATTCGCCAATGTGTCCAATATGTTTGCATTAACAGTTGACTAACGCGACAAAAACGAAAAACCGAAAATTTCCATAACAATGCCACAAAATGCAAGCAGAGTTATTCAATACCGTACGGTTTAAATATGCCTTTAACCAGTGACATTTAATAACAATAATCCGCCAATTTTAATTTATGTAAATCTTCACATTCACTGTGTCATCGAAACCATGCTTGTAACCAGTAACATTTAATGCCAATAACCCGACATTTTCAATTTATGCAAGTCTTCATATTCTCTGTGTCACCGAAACTTTCAACCTTCCACTACTTCTAGTAGACTAAAAACGCATTCATCAACTGCCAGTTCAGCGAATCGAAAAATAAGAATGCAAGAAGGAAATATCAAAAATAATGGGAATCGCATGAATGAACAACTGTTTGAACCTTTGGTCGTTTAATTCCATCCAGTCTGAAATAAAAAGCTTTCATTCGAGCATTTCTGCCATTTCTAAAATTCTGTACAACGCCTTCTGTACAACGCATTATATCGATGGCATATATCATATGGTTCAATCTTCTGCTATACGTCGCATCAGTTCCAGGTAAGAAAATGTTCATTCTATGCCCAACGGAAGATCCCTAATTAGGATATACTTCGACAAACACATGAAACAACCATAAAGTTCATTAGGTCAACAAGATCATTCGGGCAATGAGTATTTCTCAGAACCAGGACAACTTGGATTTAGCACTAGTTGGCTCAGATAAGGATACATATAACAGTGAATGGGAAAATACTAGTGGACTATTACCGGGAACAAGCAGTTAAGAATTATGAAATGACATACCATTTTAATCTCTTCAGTTTGTCCTTCACTCAATTGCATGAAGATATAAGAAGCTACAAGTAATCCGAAGCTGATCTCGTTGCAGCGAAAAATTCAGAATTACTCCTCATCCGACATTCTTTCATCAAAAGCAACACTGAGAATAAGCTTTTTGTTTTAAAATAACATACGGTAAGAAAGTGAACAAGATCTCGTGATTTAAGTCAGTCGAAATGTGAATCGACAGATTTGATCAATGATGCTGATACAGTCATTTTTCAAATTATATTCATTAATTAGCATATAAAATGGTATTTGTAAACACAGATGTCATATCAGTTTTTTCAGTTGGGCAGAAGTATGAATGTCGTTATTGTAATGCGAATACGAAGACAAGGAAGGAATATTCAGAACATCTTAAAACGCACAAGGTACAAGGTTCATATAAATGCACTTGGCCCACATGTGAAATGAAATGCCGTACCTTATGCACACTTCGACGGCATTACGAAAAACATCAACCTAAACTTTTGTGCGGAAGTTGTGGCTATTTGTTTTATCGTAAGGATGTATTAGAAAAACACGAACAACAATGCAACGGAGGTAACCGTTAGTTTCGCAAAGTTTATATTTAGCAAAAAAATGTTTTCAACGTGTTTATTATGGAAATCTGTTGCAAAACATCAACAATAGTGAAGTGATAATTCAAAATTCAATACTTACTGCAATATTTTTCTAACCTCAATAGATAGCTGCTTGTCGTTTATCGCAATTGGTGTTTGGCAGTTACTGATGTGATAATGAACGGAGTAACGGAATTCAAGCAATTAGCGCCCATACAGCCCGGTGAAATTAAAAATGATGACAATAACGTCATCACTGATGTCAATTGAGAAACGAATATTCTAGTGCATTCTTTTCTACGTTTTCAACGGTCTTTTAACACAAGGGAAGAATGACAAATGTATGAAAAGAACGAAATACGTCATTCGATCCATGAAACCAAACGGCCACTAAACGCTCACTTCGTTTGATTCGATGAGGTGATTGGATTTAGCATTAATGGCCATAGATACGGTTACATATCACAGTAATAGGAAATACTAATGGACAATTACCAGAAACAAGTAGTAAAGAATTATACAATGACATGTCGTTTTAATCCTTTTCACTTTACTCCTTTCACTCAATTGCGCGAAGTTGAAAATACAAGCAGTAATTAATCCAAAATCAAAACTGTTCTCGCCCACACCAAAAAATTCACAACTATACGTTGTGGGAGATTATATCATTAATGTAACATTAATACTTAGATTCTATTGCAAATATATACAAACCAGTGAATAGTTTCCCGGATTCTAAATTAATTGGAATGTAAAATGTTTTATGGCACTGATATCTTCATGATCTGTTTTCAGATTAAGTCAATTAATTACCAAACGCAATGATAGAAAAACTAATTGTAAACACTATCACAGCAGTTGTTTTCCAGATGTGAAGACGTATGAATGTCCACATTTTAACTGTAATGCGACCATGCAGGACAGAGGAGAATATAACGAGCATTTCCAAACGCACAATAAACCATTTCTCTATCAATGCAAAAATCCCGATTGTGGGCAAATATTCTGCCATCAATCAACATTCTCCATACACAAGAAATCCTGTCAACATGAACCTCAGAGTGAGAAATTCCTTAGTTTTAAGCAGTCACTGAGGAGACACAAGAAATTTTCCCGCAGAGCTTCTCAGTTTTGCAAATTCAGCAAAATTCTTAGCATTTATTTATTTACCTGAAATGAATGAATGCACGTGAAAAATATGTGTAACCGTGGAGTCACTTCCTTTGGCACAATGAAGTGATATCTAAGAAATATCCATTCTAGGCCCAACGGAAGGAAATCCGCATTTGGGGCATACTTTGGTAGGCACACGAAACATCACATTACGGGTTAAAGTTCATTAGATCAACAAGATCATTCGAGCAATAAGTATTTCTCAGAACACTTTAACATCCATGACAACTTGGATTTAGCACTAACTGCCTCAGACATGGTTGCATATAACAGTAGATGGAAATACTAATGGACAATTACCAGAAACAAGTAGTAAAGAATTATACAATGACATGTCGTTTTAATCCTTTTCACTTTACTCCTTTCACTCAATTGCGCGAAGTTGAAAACACAAGCAGTAATTAATCCAAAATCAAAACTGCTCTCGCCCACACCAAAAAATTCACAACTATACGTTGTGGGAGATTATATCATTAATGTAACATTAATACTTAGATTCTATTGCAAATATATACAAACCAGTGAATAGTTTCCCGGATTCTAAATTAATTGGAATGTAAAATTTGTTTTATGACACTGATATCTTCATGATCTGTTTTCAGATTAAGTCAATTAATTACCAAACGCAATGATAGAAAAACTAATTGTAAACACTGTCACAGCAGTTGTTTTCCAGATGTGAAGACGTATGAATGTCCACATTTTAACTGTAATGCGACCATGCAGGACAAAGGAGAATATAACAAGCATTTCCAAACGCACAATAAACCATTTCTCTACCAATGCAAAAACCCCGGTTGTGGGAAAAAATTCATCCATCCATCATCATTCTCCATGCACAAGAAATCCTGTCAACACGAACCTCAGAGTGAGAAATTCCTTAGTTTTAAGCAGTCACTGAGGAGACACAAGAAATTTTCCCGCAGAGGTTCTCAGTTTTGCAAATTCAGAAAGTTCTTAGCATTTATTTATCTACCTGAAATGAATGCACGTGAAAAATATGTTGCGAAAAATGCGTGACCGTGGAGTCACTTCCTTTGGCACAATGAAGTGATATCTAAGAAATATTCATTCTAGGCCCAACAGAACAAAATCCACAATTGGGACATACTTTGCCAGACACACGAAGCCATATCATTGCCGATCAATATTCAGTAGATCAACAAGATCATTCAAGTGATGAGCATCCTTCAGAAAACTTTATTAACCTCGACAAGCCTGATGATAGCATCTTCGATGATCTTAACATCCCCGATAATGTTGTTGTTAACATCGAAGATATTAATCTTGAAAACTTTGACAATGACAACCTTAGTGGTAACATCGTCGACGATATCTCTCGTTTCTAAATTTTATAGCAAAAAAAAGAAAACTTGGTCATGAAAATCAACTTTCTTTTTTGTCTTGTAAGAATTATCTAAAGATCTCATATAAAAAAATTTTCCATTGGAACTTTGGGTACATTTAACGAACACTTACATTTCTTGACAAAATTTCAAAAATATCTTTAGCCAATTTTGATAAATGCTTTAATGAGATAATTTATCTGCTATAAACGATAAACAATTGTGTCGCTTTGTTTATGTTATTCACAAATACTAGTAAGAGTTTACCCTTCCTATTGAAGTCATTATTTTAACTCACATTATAATACGATTCACGATACTAGTCTTCCCCTAGTGTTGCGCTAATTTGTCTTTACAAGAATAAAATTTCGGATTAACTGCGCTATCGTTACCAATCATTACATCCAACGCTATCGCCCTTCATTATGAACTACTCTACTCCCTAGCGATATCAAAATTACCTGTAATCCATTCCAAATATATTATTTGCTCATCAGTTCAAAAAAGATCCTTTTTTGACAGATGGATTGAATAAACCATTAATCCTGCACTCTGGAATGAAATACTGTGTTCAAAATTTATTAACGTCACATAAAACATAATCCGGTTTCTTTCTAACGTCACATAAGGCATCATTTAGTTTTATCTTCATGTCACATAAAATATAAATCCGGTTAGTTCCATAATCTGTTTTCGAAGTGAAACATTTATTTCCACCGTCCAATCATCTTTCATTAATTACTGATCCGATATTATATAGGAATACCTTTAAAGTACATTAAAGTGAAAGAGGAAAAAGATGGAAGGTGATTGACATTGTTGACAAAATCTTTTCTTTTTCATTCCTACAGAACAAACTAATCCTTCTACTTTCATCCACTTTAAACACTTTAAATAAATTTATCCTAAAATATTCAATCAATAATTAAAGTGTAAAGTGATAAGTGATCAAAATGACGTGGTAATTTCAAAATTAATCAGTAATATCATTGCAATGTGTATTGCACTTTCACAGATACAGATCATTTTCATAGTTATACCGTAATACGATATTATAGCTAAAGTGATAATTCATTAACTGATTTACTTATGATAGTAAAATTCATTCAA